ACATTTAACCCGAAATCGGATGAAGATATATATGGGAGCTATATCTAAATTTGATCCGATTCTCACCAATTTCAATAGGGTTCGTCCTTGGGCCAAAAAAATATTGTTTGGAAAATTTCATCTCAATCGGATAATAAATGCGACCTGCATTTTGTTCACAAGAATACATGGACAGACGGACGGACGGACGGACGGACAGACGGACGGACATGCATAAATCGACTCAGAAAGTGATTCTATGAAGGTTCTCAAAAGTAACTATGGGTCTATCTCGTTTCCTTCTCCATGTTACAAACAAATGCACAAAGACATAATACCCTTACCACTATGTGGTGTAGGGTATAAAAAGCGAAGTGTGGCCGGTAAATTTGACAAAGTAAAAAAATGGTACCATATTTTTCAAATCAAATGTTGAAACGATTCTTGTTATAACCAATTTTCATACAGTGTTTAAACATGAAGTTGACAAGAGAACAAATCGTTTTACTGTGATGATCTACTAAAGTGGTGATCTAATTGACCCGCGTGGCTGAATAGACCTTCCTTATTATATGAAGAAATACTCGGCGCAAATCCTTTATTTAATATTTATTTAATATTTTGAAAATCGTAAATTGAAAAAAAGTTCTTAAGCCAATACGGAAAGGGCAAAAGTCGGGCAGGGCCGACTATATGATACCCTACACCACTATGCGTATTTAGTGGTTTGGGGATGTATGTGAAGTAGATCATACCAGCTATGAACCTTATTTGCATGGGTATCATGGAATTAGAGTAGCCATAAATTGGAAACTATATCCAACTCTGCATCGATTTCCAACAAATTTGACGTAGACTTTTGTAACTATAGTACCAAATAACATTGCTGTATAGGGCATGACTTCGATAAGAATTATATTCAATAATATTTATTGGAGCAATACATATAAGTGCTCGAGTTTCACCAAATGGAAAAATTCGATTGAATATGAAAAAAATTTATCCAATTCGGGCTGATATTACATAAATGGTGGACAGTAATCATAAAATCGTATGAAGATGTATATCGAATGTATATAAAAATCTGAACCGATCTCGATAGAGCTGTATCGGATGTCCGGTAACAAATATCATTGTTGTGGTGTGCATATTACGCATTTGAGGGACTCTAACACCAACTCGGATTTGCAGTACTTGTTTCTAAGCTGATATTAGCCATTTGGTGCATAATAAACCCGAAATCGGATGAAGATATATATGGGAGCTATATCCACATCTAGACCGATCTTGGTACCAAAGAACATTGTTGTGTTGTGCATATTACGAATGTGAGCGACTTAGACACGAAATTTGATGAAGCATACATAGAGGGCCCACTGCTATACCGAACCAAGTCATGAAAAATAAAAAATGTTGAAATTAGTGCCAATGTCTCGGTATATGGAAACTCTGTTTACCCTGTAAAGCACAATGTCAAAAAGTGTTTCGTTACAAAGATGACGGTAAAAAACCTAAGTCAACGACTGTCATTTTCGACTTTTTTCAAAGCAAAAATTAACCAAGTCAGTGTGTTTCATTTTGAATCAGTACTATTGTCGTTCAGGTTTCCGTGTTTTCTATAAATGGATAGTAATTATAGCAGTGCTAGTGATTTCTCCAGTAATGAAGATGAGGAATATTTGCCAGCCCCAAAAATGATGACGGAAATGACGAATTTTTTTATGTGTAAATATTTGTTGAAACCACTGTAAAATTAAGAAGGTAAAGTCATTTCAAATAACCCAACATACCAAAAATACAATCGTAAGAATTCCTCAATAATGCTAGAGAAAAACTTTTTTGCACAAACTTTTCTCAAATCTGTCCTTTGTTGACGAATTTGTTTTGATTTTTTTTTTTTGTGAAGCAAAGCGCAAAAAGCTCACAAAGGCTTCATAAGAATATTGAAATGTTGTTTATAAAGAAGTGAAAAACGTGGTTCAAAAACGTGTGTGTATGTGTATGGCATCCTTAAGAACGAATCTTGGCTTTTAACAAGAATTTTGAGGGGAGTTATGGATATATATTAAAAAATATGAGAAGGTAGACAAAAGAAAAACAACGGGGATATATTCAATTTCCGCATGATATGGAATATGGGCGAAAGTATTGAGATAAACGAAGTTTCGAGAAAACTGTTCTGAAAACCATATATTTTTATTCAACATTTTTTTAAGGGACGAGAAGAAATGGACATTTTCGCACTTGGTCATTTTTAATGGCTGTACCAAAAGCTGGACATATATTGGTATTTTTTATAAATAGCGTTTCTTCATAATAAAAGCATAGAATGTAAATATTTGGAGAAATTATATGGAAAACATGGCCAAAACTTAAAAAATACTTGAAATCGGAGTTATCCTTAAAAAGCGACTATTCCAAAGAGTGGATCGATATGACCCTCTTAGTGTACAAATGATTCTAGGTGTAGTCCAAAGATCTCTATCAAATTTCCAAGCTCTCTTTTGACACCTTTCATCTGAAACGAAATTTTATGAAACCTTCAGGCGTCAAATCGAAAAAGAAAATTTGGGGAAAAATTTATCAAAAAATTAAGAATTTTTTTTTTTTTTTTTTTTTTTTTTTTTTCGAACGTTGATGCAAACTAGCATATATTTGCACTAATTTGTCTAAAAAATGGTATTTGTAGCTCGTTATTTGTTCTAGCTCTAATGGTGGAACATTGTACATATAGGTCCACATTTTCGTATGAATTTGGATGATTTTTGATACATTTTTCCACGCGTTTGTCCACAAAATGCTATTTGTTGTTTCTAATGGGTTCTAGCTTCGGTGACAGAACACGTTTTCGCATAGCCCACATACAGGTTGAAATAAAAAAATAAGGTGAGATCAGAGTAAATTTAGATTTGTTCGAATTGGTCACCTTTGGCAAGAATTATGGCCTTTAAACGGCCAACGAAACCGTCACACGCTGCATAAATGTTGCTCTAAAGTATTTTGGCCCATTCCCGACGAAGAGCGTGCTTGCTTTCCAAAATACTCCAGACACAATAGTCCAACGGATTGGTATAAGGAGATTTTGGTGGCCATTGTGAGCTGGAAATGAAGCGAGGAACCTCATTTTGTAACCATCCTTGGGTGGTCTGCCGCCAAAGTGTTTGCGTGCCCAAGTCTTTAATGCACCCTTCAGAATATTTTAGCGATAATATTCGACATTTATTTTGATGCCATGGTCGATTAATACGATCGGAGAGCGACCATCGGCTGTTATGGCGACCCACACCATCCATGGTCGGCGCTTGAGTTCCGGTGGCCAACCATTATTGTACATTTTCAGCTGACCTCGATCATTTTGTTTACAAACTGCTGAACAACAAATGTTTTCTCATCAGAGAAAACAAAATTCGGCAGTTCACAACTTTCGGTCAAGCGAAGCAACTCTTTAGCTCTTTTGAGTCTATTTTCTTTCTGTTGCGGTGTAAGTTCTTGCACTTTTTGGAATTTCAATGGCTTTACCCCGGGCTCATTTTTCAGTATTTGCCCAATGGAATATTGCGATATGTTCAGCTCACTGCCACTCCGAGGCAGGTTTTGATCAAGTCGCTTCTTTACTTTTCGAACCATTTCTGCTGATGTTGCTGTTTTCTTCCGTCCACTTCCATGACGCCGGGCTACGCTACCAGTATCACGGTAACGAGCGATGGTACGAGACGCAAAATATAGCCACTTGTGATTTTTCATCCAAATATAAAGAAATCACAATATTACGATTGAATTCCATTACGACAATTTTTTTTTTCTGGAAAATTTTCACCAAAATGCTTTTATATGCCTGTAAACAATATAATAAGCTGTCACAGGAATAATTTTAAAAGCTGTCGGACAAGTGGCTTAGAAATGGTAGCAGTCCGAAGTTGGTTGCAGTTTTTTTCATCTCACCCTGTAACTGTACATCCAAATATTTTTCCAACAATTTGTCTAAAAATTGGTATATGAATTTCGATATGGGTTATAGCTCAGGTGGTGCCACATTGTATATATAGGTCCATGTTTTCGTATAGTCCCCATATAACGGTACCTCCTTATATTCGGTATTTTGATGATTTTTCAACATTTTTCAAAGGATTTTTAAAAAACCAGATTTGTAGTTCGTATTGTCTAGAACACATTACGAACTACAAATATTGGAGGAATATTGTACACGTTTTCGTACAGCTCCTGTTTAACGGCACCTCCCGATATTCGGTATTCCATGGATTTGTCTAAAAATTGGTATTTGTAGTTCGTTATGGGTTCTAGCTCTGATGGCGGAACATTGAATGTCTAGGTCTACGTTTTCCTACAGCGCATATATAACGGTTTCATCGAATATTTGGTATTTTAACGATTTAATTCATATTTTCTAATGGGTTCTACAGCCGGTGTCAAAACATTGTCACAATAGTCACTCTTATTCAGTATATGGTTAAACATTAACGTAAATGGGACTTTTGTGAGGGGACATGGTTAATTTGAATAAAAATCTGGATATAGAAACGGGAACTTAAATACATTTCAATTTAGCTGACTATTGTAATGATCTAAAGAGACAGACATTTACATTGACATAACTTAAAAACCAGTAAGGAAAAGGCAAAAGTCGAGCGGGGCGGACCACTGTGCCTATTTAGCAGAGCTCCCGAAACTATGGAATTTGGCTTTAGAGCAGTAATAGTTTGCGCTTGTGAGGGACTTTAAACCCCAAATCGGAAAAACATCTGTATGGGAGGTATATCTACAAATTAACCGATTTACACCAAATTTGGAGGATTGGTTTATAGGATGAATTCAGTCGTAATTTCCAAAAGCCCTGTACCCAATATCATTCTTCTGGAGTGCATTTTACGCATGTGAGGGACTAAATCCCCAAATCGGATGAAACATATAGAGGGTGTTTTTTAAGCTAGATAGAACTTTAAATTGTAAAAAGCAACACAATAAATTAAGTTTTGATGAAACTTTTTTTTTATTTGTTTCAGTATACTCTGACAAATCAGCATGAATAGACTCACGCTTGAACAACTCTACGAAATTATCCAAATTTACTTTGAAAATCAGGCTCTAGAGCAGTTGGCAAATGACCCGTTGTTTTATCGCAAAATTGTGTTCAGCGATGAGGCGCATTTTTGGCTTAACAGGTTTGTTAATAAGCAAAATTGCCGCATATGGAGTGAAACCGATCCACAAGAGACCCTACAGACTCCATTACATCCAGAAAAATGCACCGTATGGTGCGGTTTTCACGCTGGTGGCATCATCGGACCTTATTTCTTCAAAAATGAGGCCGGAGCACGCGTTACGGTCAATGGAGATCGTTATCGCACCATGACCAATGACTTTTTGTTTAAAAATACGGATGACATTGATCCGGAGGAGATGTGGTTTCAACAGGATGGCGCTACGTGCCATGCGGCGAACGCAACCATCGACTTATTGAAATCAAAATTACGCGATAAGTTGATTTCGAGAAGTGGACCTGTCAATTGGCCTCCAAGGTCGTGCGATGTGACACCTCTCCATTATTTTCTGTGGGGCTACGTGAAGTCACTGGTTTATGCTGATAAACCAGCAACAATTTACGCCTTAGAGGCCAGCATTGTTCGCGACATACGGCCAGCAGTGCTCGAAAAAATGGCAAAAAATTGGACGTCCAGAATGCACTTCGTCAAGAACAGCCGCGGTGCCCATATGCCCGAATCATTTTCAAGTGTTGATCTTTCGAATAAAAAAAAAAAATTGATTCAAATTTTTTCTCCAAATTTGGTTTACTTGCTTCTAGACTGAATTCGGTGGGATGTACCAATTAGCCCGAAATCGGTTGAAAATATATGAGAGCTATATTTTTATCTGATGCGACCACCAATCTCAATTGGATTCGTCCTTGGGCCAAACAAATATTGTTTGCAAAATTCATCTCATTCGAATAATAAGTGCGACCTGGTTTAGGGTCTACCAGTTATTTGTAAATGTACTATAAGTTTATAAAAATTAACTTAAAACCGGGAACCTGAATTTTATTTTAGATTTTTAGGTTATCTCGATTTTCCTGGCTAAATATCCCCCATATTATATAGCATGACTTAATCACGGGTGAATTATAATTTAATATAACCTCCCCACACCACTTTTACGGCGCACCATCAAAATAGAACAATAGCAATTCCAGTCATAATTCTAACAGCGCAATGAAATAAAACTATAAAACTAAATTGCATTACTTAATAAAGCAAATAACACTTTTATTAGAGAATGCAGATATATTCTTTCAGTCGACTATTTTTTCACACATCATTGACAACTGAATGACGAAAATAACAGAGGTGGTGAACCCAGTGAAAAGTGACACAGATGAGAGAATCGTATAAGTTTTTTTCAAAGCTTAGTTATTATATATTCTCTGGCAAATCAAATGTCCTTGTTTTAGTATTATAGTCCCAATTCTTATGTGGGGACTCCATATGACAAATGTTGTGGAGAGTAACTCTGGTATCAAGTCTGGAATATAACACTTCAAGTTTCTATTAAAACTAATGAAATATGCGTTGTGGTAGCACAGACACTGGTAGACTACACAGGAACCGCATTGTTTACCACAGGATGCTACTTCATGTTTTATCGTAGATAGCTGAGGTAGGCCCAAACAACTTGAACAGGCTATCATGTGACCTCTAAGACCTTGGTTTAATTTGTGGTCGGAATAATGCCGTCATCGACCTTCACATTCAGTGATAGTCGTGATTTCAGCGACAGTCAATTTAGTGGCAGATATTTTCATATTCTTCGCAATGAAAACACGAATTTTGAATACCCTCCATAATTTGTAACCAAAGGCTGTAGAACCCATTACGAATTTAAAATACGAAATTTGAAACAATTCCAATCAATAATGCCGCTAAAATCATATTAATACAGAATTTAGGAAGGAATTAGAGACCACCATGGTCAATTTTCTGTCATAGCTGGCAGTACCCATTAAGAACTTCAAATACGAAAATTGAAACAATAATAATATATACTTTGTGGTGTCTAAAGTATATATTTCGAGGTGTTACAAACGAAATGACAAATTTAATATACCCTCCAAAGTATTGTGAAGGGTATAAAAAAACAAGTAACCAAAGGCTATAGTTGTGCGGGGCAGACCATGTGATACCCTACAACACTACAATATGTTAGAAGCCCCCTTATGTCCGAATCCATTTTGGAAGATTTCGCTTTTGAAATTATTTCACGGAGCACCGCCCAGATATTACCCTTAGCAGTTTGAACAGGGACATTTGCCCAATATTTACCCACTCCATCGCGCTGTTAGTCGTAGTGATCCATTTTACAGCTAAATATAATCCAATGGCCATCCAAAATGCTAGAATTCTTCCCTGTCCTTAACTTCCCTCTCAGGCGTGTCGATTTGCTTCAAGTGTGTAATCAGGAATTTTTTTCTATTTTTGCAATCTGTATATAATAACCCCATCCTGTGTTGTAAGGTGAAAAATTATTACAAAATATACACTTCAATATTAAGTCAAATTGAAAAAATCGCATGCGATAAAAAATATGAAAAAAATGTCACAAAATAGTACAAAATCTATGTTAACATCCTTATTGGCATATTTTTATGCGATTTTTTTTAGGTTTTATTCTTTTATGCCAAGAGGGCATTCTGAACTGACAAAATTTGTCAAAATGGGTTCAGCCATTTTTGAGATATAGGCATTCTAGCTAACATCCCCTTCATTTGCATATACGCAATGTATATATTTCGCTATATATATCCGATATATTTACTATCGGCATATATGTAACGGTCAGACTTGACCTGTTTGTCTATTTGTGACTTCGCCGGGATTAAAAATATTTACGATTTAATGGAAAATTTGACTTTTATTTAACACAAATGTTATGGTCTTTTTCATTCACTAAATATTAGCCGATGACCATCAAAATTGGAAGGCTTCTGCCCAGCCCTAAGCTCTAGCCCCATGCCAACTTCCGCGTCAATTGGTCTATAATTGCGACCTGTAGAGCAACTGCAAAATCATGAATTTGTTCAGTTTTTGGTCCATTTCAACCCCTAAATATTATGCGACCATCTCCAAAAAGAATAGGGTTCTTTTCTGACCCTATCTCTACCTCCATTTTAAATTTCGGGCCATAATTGCGACCTGTAGAGTGATTACAATTTAACATGGACAGGCGGACGGACGGACATACATAGCTAGATCGACTCAACTCGGCGAGATAGGAAGATCCATATATACTTTCCTATGTGGGAAACTAATATTTCGAGGTGTTACATAATTTTTGGCTCAATCAAACTTATACCCCCACCACATAGTGTTGTAAACCAGCGGTTCTTAATTTATAAGCAGAATAAATAAGATCAATTCTTTTACATAATATTGTACCTATTTTGCTATATATCCGATTTCTTGGCTATTAGCATCACTGTAATGGTCAGAAACGATCTCTTAATGTATTTGTGATTTGGCTGGAGTTGAAAATATTCGCGGTTTAATGGAAATTTTCCTATTTTCTTACATAAAAGTTAGGGTCTATTTTACCCGTTAATTATTGTCCGATGGCCGCCCACTGCCCACTCCTACACTCTAACTCCATGTAAATTTTAGAGCAACTGCAAAATCAGGAAAATTTTATGTTTTTGGTTCATTTCAACCCCTAAATATCGTGCGATCATCTCCAATAACCCCACCTCCATTTTCAATTTCGTGAGGACCGGTTCATAATTGCGACCTGTAGCTTGATTACAAATTAACATGGACAGGCGGACAGGCGGACAGATGGACAGACGGACGGACGGACATACATAGCTAGATCGACTCATCTCGGCGAGATAGGAAGATCCATATATACTTTCCTATGTGGGAAACCAATATTTCGAGGTGTTACATAATTTTTGGCCCAATCAAACTTATAATACCCCCAACACATAGTGTTGTAGGGTATAAAAACGACCAAAATTACCCCTTTGGTGTCTCGCAAATGTTAAAGAAAATAAATGTCAACGAAATCTCTCAAAATGTTTTCTGGGCAACATTCGCAAAAAAATAACACATCGAAACATCTCTGGGCAATAATAGAAAATAACTAATAAACACATACACATCATACACATATGCAGCTCTGCAACTTACTCAGTCGTGATGGGGACACACCCATTTCATGTCAATCCAATGTCCAAAAAGGAACGCAAAGTTTCGAAACTAAAGTAGAAATAACAGCTAAAATTGAACAAAACTAAACAATTCTTAATGCAATATGTATGTAAGTGCAACAATATTAAATATTTGCGAGGGTGTGTGTGTGTCTTCGAGTATGTGTAGGTGTTGTTTTCATGAATGGCTTTATGTCCAAAGCAATAAATTTTTATGCGCTTAAACGCACACATGAGTATTTTGCAATTGCAAAACAACCAAGGATTCGAAGTTACACTGTGCTGGCGCATAATAAAGCGCTGTGCATGTGTATGAAAGTTCTTTGCTACACATATGGCCATTAGTATGTTGTGAGTGTGTGTGTGGCATTTTCAAATAACAACAAATTCGAGTGGCAAAGTCCAGTACTTGTCACACATAGCACTTGAATAAAAACAAAAAAATACTTCACTGCTAGTTTCTTCTAACTCGATTCAACTAACACCTACACACCTACAAATGTCATCATCATCATCATTCGTCCCTTATACACCCTGTAATGACTATGAACTGCATTTTGCTGAAATAATATAAAAATGGTCAGTGCACATGAGCGTTGTATGTTCCGTTATTGTCGCAACCATAACAGCTGCTGTTACTACTTCCATCTAATCCAAATCAATTTGCATCAAGAGCCTCGTTTTATTCTATTACAGAAAATGACATTACAGCCCTTAGATTGGGGTTAGTAGAATGCGAGAGTAACATCGCCCTGATAAGAGTCACACATTGTGGGGCCAATTTGAGAATATAACCAGAATCTGTAGTGGAAAACAATACGAACTGCACAACGAGTTGAATTAAAGTATGTTATAAGAGAGGCTAGTAATAAATAAAGACATTAGGACACCCTTCATAATTTCTAACTGGAGGAGATGCAAAATATACCCAAAAACAATGAAAACCAGTAAAGAAAGACCTAAAGTCGGGCGGTTCCGACTTTTTGATACCCTACACCACTTTGCTAATTTAGTAGAGCTCCACGTAACAATTAAAAGTTTTTATGGGAGAATTCCATCATACACGCTATGATAATAATTATAATTTAAAATTCAAAGGACTAAATATGCCGAAATTCGGAATTGTATTGCCCATTTGGTGCACAATTAATTTGAAATCGGATAAAGATATATATGCGAGCAATGTCCAAATCTAAACCTATTTCGATAAAATTTGGCAAAGATATTTCAGAGCTGTATTTGATATATTTCCCTGAATATCGTTGTTATGGAGTGCATATTACTGCTGTGGGTAACAAATACTAAAAATCGGATGAACAATATATATGGGAGCTATAGCTATATCTGAAACGATCTTCGCCAAATTTGGCATACTATCTTCTAGACTCAATTCGGTCGTATGTGTCAAATTCAATTCCATTTGGACAAATATTAGACGTTTGGTGGACAATAAAAAGTAAATCGGACGAAGTTATATATGGGAGCTATATCCAAATCTGAACCGATCTCGATAAAATTTAGCAAAGGTATTTCTGAGCTGCATTTGATATATTTCCCCAAATATTGTTGTTATA